AAGTAGCACGGGCTATGGTGAGCCCGTAGTGGACTTACCTGGCACAGGAGCGGGGCAAGTAGCCCGGGCTATGGTGAGCCCGTAGTGGACTTACCTGGCATAGGAGCGGGGCAAGTAGCCCGGGCTATGGTGAGCCCGTAGTGGACTTACCTGGCACAGGAGCGGGGCAAGTAGCACGGGCTATGGTGAGCCCGTAGTGGACTTACCTGGCACAGGAGCGGGGCAAGTAGCCCGGGCTATGGTGAGCCCGTAGTGGACTTACCTGGCATAGGAGCGGGGCAAGTAGCCCGGGCTATGGTGAGCCCGTAGTGGACTTACCTGGCACAGGAGCGGGGCAAGTAGCATGGGCTATGGTGAGCCCGTAGTGGACTTACCTGGCACAGGAGCGGGGCTGTAACTTTGAGAGGGAAGAGTTGCCAGGGAAGACGGCAGAGGTGTCAATAAGATGGCATATGTGCCATAATTATATATCATAACTTGGCTGGTCAAATAGTGGCTTCATGGATAGCTGGAAATTATGTTATCCCCAATTTATCATAAAATTATCCACCATTTTTCTATGTGTAGTTAAAATTAACACGTTTTTTATGTGTAGGTGTTTTCGTTCAAGGTTTCGCGGTCAAACTTGTTTACCTCTCGTCATTTTCAAAGGGCAAAAGAACTTGTTGAGCAGCGAGAGGATTAAGAAGCGTCCGCGAACATAGGCCACTGTAACTCCAGCCATGATTTGCGCAATAAGTCTTGCCTCTGAGGAATGCGGCTGTATCTCCTAGTTCTATTATCTCAGCCTCTTACGCGTTACAAGGGGACACGTGTGTGAGTCATATATATATATACATGCGCTACCATCAGCTTTTGTCCGGTCGTGATGGTCGAGTGGATTAGGTGCCCTGTACACCAGTTGCAAAATGCTCCTGGCAGTATGGGTTCGAGTCACTTCTGAGGTGTGAGTTTTCAGTTATATATATATATATATATATATATATATATATATATATATATATATATATATATATATATATATATATATATATATATATATATATACACATGTAACTCAAGCAGACATATATCATAGAAATGGGAGAAGATATCGAGTCGTCGTGATTACTATCAAGTCGCCACTGAGACATACTGGCTTCTTCTTGTTTAAGATTAGCTACTGGGAACAAAACGTTCCAAGTAGCACGGGCTATGGTGAGCCCGTAGTGGACTTACCTGGCACAGGAGCGGTGCTGTGACACACTGGGAACGGGTAGGCATTATGTGATTGTGGGAGTAGGTGAGGTGGGAAAAGAAGAAGAGGGAGAGGTATGTGAAAGAACTGAAGCCCATGTCATCCATCATTAATGCTTTCACGTCTTATTCAGATTGAATAAAACTAACATTTACAAATAACAAGCAGCGTAAAAATGACGTTTCCGTTAACAGTTTAAAAAAAGGTATATACGCTATGTCAACCAAGCCGCACTCCTAAATGGAACTTTACATGTATATATATACCGCTCTCAAGGGGCACATATCCCTGTTGGACCATATATACATTTAAGTATATATAGCTCCACGTGCAATTGAAGCTACAGTCCGTCAACAGACATTTAATGGCTGAAAATTAGTTCTAAACCTCAAAAAGCGTTTTGCTGTCCTCAGGAACATCTTGAGAGGCTAAGAAAGATTCTAAACGTCAGTGAGGCGTCTTTAAATCTTATAAAAACAGGTTTAGCGAGACGATCCTAAAACAAGTGCAGGAGAATCTTTGCTTTGGAGTATCTACAAAAAAATATAAGCCTTTACATTTTTCTCTTAATATGTTCTTTTCGTAACTACAGAAATCGGGGAAAAATATGCCAAAATTCGTCCTAAGTCAATCAACAAATAACAATTGAATCTTGGGCTTAGAATCGTCTAAAGACGCCAACGGCAGTCTGCGTAGGGAAGAGCGTCTTAGCCCGAGGTTGTAGGGGGCCAGGAGTTGTTTAGAAAGACAGGCCAAGTTTACCTTGAAGCTTGAGAGGTACACGCTGACTAGCGGTTCCTAGTAGTAGGGCTGCGTCAAGCTCTGGTATACATTATGAAAACATGAAGCTTTCTGAAGCTGTGATGTGCACTCTGAGCTAAGCATGAAGCTTTCTGAAGCTGTGATGTGCACTCTGAGCTAAGAATGAAGCTTTCTGAAGCTGTGATGTGCACTCTGAGCTAAGCATGAAGCTTACTGTAAATAAATAAAACTCAATAAAACTGTGATTGATTCCTACGTGGATATAAATAGGATTTGAGTGGATAATAATTGGAGCTGTTTCGTGTGGGAAAATAGGCCTTCTGCAACTTATTTAATTCTTGGGCTTTTATGCACTCCATGTTGGAGGCAAATCTGCCACTAAGCTCAAGGTTACTATAACTTATCTCAAGATATAGTTATATGTACTCCAAAGTCAATTGTATACAAAATTCAAATATACGCAGACGAAAGTCAAATATTCGTTTATATACAAAAGTCAAATATGAATACAAATTCAAATATTCGTATGAATTCCCAAATTCAAATCATTTATTAAAATTTAAATGGATAAAAAAATCATACGAATCAATATCATATGAATAAATGAATCATATCTTTATCAAAGTTGACAGTGATAAAAAGAGGAATTCTGAGAATGAAATTTCGTCTCAGAGATACGTTGAACATCCATCTACCCCCCCCCCGCTTCTGTTGTGATGAAGTCCAGTACACTCAATCCTCAACTGAACACCTGTTCACTGCAGCTTTAGCTGTTGGGCATCGTTACGAAATGATGGTTCCCAGACAGATAGATAAACTTACTTCCCAAAATCGACCACCAATACTAAACAACGCAGCGCCCTGTTCTGACATCACACACGTATATTAATTTTGAAGTCAGAGCCCCGAAGAGGTCTCAAGGTATCGTTTACGATACGAAGCAGCATGAAGCAGCACCTTGTTTGTCAACACACAACACCTGGTTCATCAAGAAAATTTGATGAGAAAAATAATGACAGTTTGCAGACGTTGAGTCGCAATAACGTCGTGGGAGAGTTCATATCCAACCCAGACATCTGAAAAGTAGGAAACGACGACGTTTCGGGCCGTCTCGGATCATTATCAAATCGTGTAATGCCGAAAAGTCGTCAATTCTTAATTTTCAGATGTGCGAGTTGAGTATCAATTACAGATTTTTCATTAAACATTGATGAAAGTAATTTCACACCACCACCGGAGGCATTTAGGAGGTACCAGGAGGAACCAAGAGGTATTAAGGAGGTATTAAGAGGTATCACGAGGTACCAGGAGGTATAAAGAGGTACCAGGAGCTACCCGAGAACCCACGAACAGAAAACGGGTCCTCATGTCCATTTCGCGAGTCGCTACCCATTTTTTAGCACAGCAGTTTTTGTCCTTTGGGAAATTATACGTCAAAAATGCGATGTACTATTCAGGAGGATGGTTCAACCATCACCACCACTACAGTTACGAGAGTAAGGCAAGATGCAGGACTAGAAAAAGGGGATGTTTGCGAGCCGCTACGTTTCATAGTACCCAGTATTTTATCCCCTGGGGATCATATAGCGAATACAATGCAAAGTATTATTCACAGTGAGATCAGACAGGCGTTAAGTGCCCTTAACCCGGCATCTGAGAGGTCCAGATCTTCCAAAAGTAAAAGAGCGCTCATTTCTGGGTAGATAGAAACATTTCTAGGGGGTCGATACGACTTCATTTCTGGGTCGATAGAAACATTTCTAGGGTCGATACGACCTCATTTCTGGGTCGATAGAAACATTTCTAGGGGTCGATACGACTTCATTTCTGGGTAGATAGAAACATTTCTAGGGTCGATACGACTTCATTTCTGGGTAGATAGAAACATTTCTAGGGTCGATACGACCTCATTTCTGGGTCGATAGAAACATTTCAAGGGTTGACATGACCTCATTTCAGCTGAAACATCTATCTGAATCAAAGCTTGTTAACAAGCCTCATCAGCTCACTGGGTACACTCAGGAGCCGAGCATACACACAACCGGGACCAAAGAGCCAAAGCTCAACAACCCCTCCCCCCTACCCCCCCCAAGCACAACTAGGTGAGCACAATTGTTACAGCGATGGACTTGAGGTCGATCACCCCAGGGAGGGATTACCAAGGACCCCAAAACAGCTTTTTGACCAGTCAACAAGTTTACTTTTGATCTGAAAGGTCTAAAGGGCCTTTACTCAAGTCAAAAGTAAACTCAGATCGAAAAGTAAACCCAGGTCAAAAAGTAAACTCGTATAAAAAGTAAACTTGAATAAAAAGTAAACGCTGGTCGAAGTAAAACCCCAAAGTAAAAAGTAAACTCTATCCCAAAGTAAACTCGGATCGAAAAGTAAACTCAGATAAAAAAGTAAACTCAGATAAAAAAGTAAACTCAGATCAAAAAGTAAACTATGATAAAAAGTAAACTCTGGTCAAAAGTAAACTCTGGTCAAAAGTAAACTCTGGCCAAAAGTAATATTTGATCAAAAAGTAAACTCCGGTCAAAAAGTAAACTCCAGTCAAAAAAGTAAACTCAGTGTATAGACCGAGCAGAATGATACACTGTCCTCCCGAGGGCGATCCAAGTGCCACTTCCGTGGTGCCACTGGCCCCCTGCCCTTTAGAGCAAGATATTCTTATAAACATGTCAATGTGACAAAATTCACAATTGACAAATTACGCTGAACTTTACGGAGATAGAAAGTGAGAAGAGAAAGCCTTCTGGCTCGATACGGGCAGAGACCGCGGTGTTTGCGTGTGTGTGGGGAGGAGGAGAACGCAAGAGAGGACGCAAGAGAGAACGCAAGAGAGGACGCAAGAGAGGACGCAAGAGAGGACGCAAGAGAGGTGGGACAAGAGACAGGCGGCCACGCCACAACCAACCAGGGGAAGGTTAGGTTAACCAAACTGTCTGTGAGCGTAAGGTGGAGGTGAAGCAGGCAACCTTGACTCCAGGGGACTCCACCCATGTTGATGCTCGCTTCCCCTACCACGTCCCAGGGTCTTCCCACCACATCCCTGCGTCCCCTACCACGTCGCTGGATCCCCTACCACGTCGCCGGATCCCCTACCACGTCGCTGGATCCCCTACCACGTTGTCGGATCCCCTACCACGTCGCTGCGTCCCCTACCACTTCGCTGGATCCCCTACCACGTCGCTGGATCCCCTACCACGTCGCTGGATCCCCTACCACGTCGCTGGATCCCCTACCACGTCGCTGGATCCCCTACCACGTTGTCGGATCCCCTACCACGTCGCTGCGTCCCCTACCACTTCGCTGGATCCCCTACCACGTCGCTGGATCCCCTACCACGTTGTCGGATCCCCTACCACGTCGCTGGATCCCCTACCACGTCGCCGGATCCCCTACCACGTCGCTGGATCCCCTACCACGTCGCTGGATCCCCTACCACGTCGCCGGATCCCCTACCACGCCGCTGGATCCTCCACCACGTCGCCGGATCCCCTACCACGTCGCCGGATCCCCTACCACGTCGCTGGATCCCCTACCACGCCGCTGGATCCCCTACCACGTCGCTGGGTCCCCTACCACGTCGCTGGATCCCCTACCACGTCGCTGGATTCCCTACCACGTCGCTGGGTCCCCTACCACGTCGCTGGATCCTCCACCACGTCGCTGGATCCCCTACCACGTCGCTGGATCCCCCAGCACGTCGCTGAGTCCCCACCCATCACGTCGCTCGTCCCTCCCACCTCTGGATAAAGCACTACCTTACACAAAGGCAGTAGGTTCTACTCATTCTCCATGGGCATGACCTTTGACCTCGCCGGAGGACCACCACCTTCGGCTCCCAAATCCTTCGCATCTTCCTAAGATTTGTTTGATAGTTGTCGTCGTAATCTGACTTTCACCTGATGTTCCGTTTGACTCAACCTTGGCACTATGTGACCTGTCCCCTCCCTGGCACCGTATGAGACCAAGTCCATTCTGGCACTGTATAAGACCTGGCTCTGGCACTGTACTTGACCTGGTCTTTTTGTCTATCCTCATAATTCATGCCTCTCAGCTCTAGCACCAGTATAATGGTATGCATGAAAACTTTACTGATGACCTCTGAGGGAGGAGGTTTTCACTCTAGGTCTAATACTTCGTCTCTTCAAGAACAGAGTTTCTCCATGTCCTCGTGCATATGTGCTATGCTGCCTCACACTATTTAGTAAGATGTTAATCCTATTCCTTCATTGTATTCTCCTTGGACAGGGTCTTATCGACGACTGATTCTCAACATTTCGAGGTAAGAAGCTCATTGTGACTTGCCTGGACCTCTCACTAGAGTTCTGTTTCCTGCAATTATCTTGATAACAAACCTTTAACTTCCCTAAAGATTCTGCTTTAATGTGATAGTCTTTTGCTTCATGATTCTCACCCTAAGCAAGTCATTCATATTTTCCCAGATACTTAAGTTCTAGCACACAGTTTAACTTCTAACTAGTTCATATATGAGAATATTTTTTAAAATTTTGACTCTGAAAGTTTCTCGTTTCTGCGTCCATTAGTTTAACTCTCCATGTCCCTGTAGCCTCATAGGTTGTGTAAAAGCCTGGTTTGTGCCTCGGAGAGGCTACGGGATCCAGTAAGTTCAGTAGAACTTCGGTTTCAACCCTTTTTAACCCTGTCGTAGCTCAGTCGATTAAGGCAGTGTCTGGGATGCTCCCGGACGCAGGTTCGAATCCTCGTCACGGCCCTTGTGGATTTGTTCGTGTGATCATAGGGTTCTCTTGTTCTAGATAGAAATACAGCATCTCTTTCTCTCTTTTTCTTTCATGGTAATCGTCACACTACTGCTCCTGTCACACTCACATGTCTGGTCCATCTGTTGTTTATTGGACAATATTAAATCCCTGCTACTATTACCTAAGGTCGTTCTATTATACACAAACTCTACAGGACATGGGGCCGTTTGGCGTGATAGCGAGACGTCAGGTGGAGGTCAAGCACCCGGCATATATTTATTTACGTGTGTAGGAAGTACGTGAGTCAGTGGTCGATATCAATGTGTACAAGGTGACTTGCCACGCCCCCAGAGTCTGGACACACTCACTTGATAATTAGTATCCTCGACACTCTGCTGTCGGCGTTCTCATTTCCATATGGATCTTCATTTTAAATTCTAATTTATGCTAATATTTCAGCAGCATGTGATAGGTATGGTCAGTAGCGGTGAAAATCATAGTAATGCTTTCCAATGCAAATTGGAAAGGCGTTCAAAGCAAATAGTACTTTCCGTGCCATACACAGATCTTTGCCCTTAACTTAAGATGTTAAACGTTGACCTGTTTGGTCACTCCCACCTCCTCAAAAGTCTAATTTATTTCTGTCACTCGTGTCATCTACCCGGCCATCTATCCCTCTATCATCAACCCAACACCAGACGTCTTATTTCAAAATATCTTCTCCGATCCATTGTCACTAGTTCAAGACAATGCTCTTCCCTCGACACCAAGAATTGGTCTCTTTACTACCAACCCCAGCAAGTGCCAACAGAAGGAGGTCTGAATGCTCAACTATATAAACATTTTTCATATGAAACCGACAGATTTTTTGGGTAGAAATTTTTTGGTTTGAGTGACAGACTGGTTCCTTGCACCAGGCTGCGCCTCCCTTGCGATAGCGCAGTGCCCGTTCGACTCCCCTTTCGCCTGGAGTTAGGGAGACTTTCTCTACATTTATTTAACAATGACATTTGGAAGCCCAAACTGTAATATCGAGCATAATTTCTTGGCCTCCTGTCGATTCAATAATAAAAGACGCCAAGCTGGTGTTGCTGCTACGCTAGACACACTATCTTGAGGTTATCTTGAGATGTTTTCGGGGCTTTTTAGTGTCCCCGCGGCCCGGTCCTCGACCAGGCCTCCACCCCCAGGAAGCAGCCCGTGACAGCTGACTAACACCCAGGTACCTATTTTACTGCTAGGTAACAGGAGCATAGGGTGAAAGAAACTCTGCCCATTGTTTCTCGCCGGCGCCTGGGATCGAACCCAGGACCACAGGATCACAAGTCCAGCGTGCTGTCCGCTCGGCCGACCGGCTCCACTAGATTACACTAGACACACTTCTCAATTTACCCTTGTCACTGGTGCAGTTACTGTACGTGTGTGACCCCTACGGGCTCACCATAGCCCGTGCTACTTGGAACTTTGTTCCAGGTAGCGAATCTTTAACAACAACAACATACTGTACGGGGTGATAGCCCCAAGTTTTTGCTACTTAAGTGTCCGGTACGAGCCATATTGTGTTGAACTGAAATACTCTGGATACTTGTTGCAGCGTCCCATGTATTCAGCTCACACTGTAAGCCCTATATCCGGAGCTTACTCTTCACTATCCCAGTACTTTTTTTTTTTTTGAGATATATACAAGAGTTGTTACATTCTTGTACAGCCACTAGTACGCGTAGCGTTTCGGGCAAGTCCTTAATCCTATGGTCCCTGGAATACGATCCCCTGCCGCGAAGAATCGTTTTTTCATCCAAGTACACATTTTACTGTTGCGTTAAACAGAGGCTACAGTTAAGGAATTGCGCCCAGTAACTGTAGCCTCTGTTCCTCTATCATCTTGGACTTACTTGGACTTAGTAGTTTAAGACCTTCTTATATACAAGGACACAAGGTCCGTTAATCTACTTCCGGTTCTTGTATCAGATCGGTGGATTAAAAGAAGTCGGCTTATGGTGGTTAATTGAAATTAATCTGTCATTGTCTTGTTAATTATGAGGTAATTACTTAAAGGGGGGTGTAATGAGGCCATTGGCGCTAATTGTCGGTTGGCTGTTGTGGTAGTGAGTAGTACCAGGTGGTGTTGGTTCTTAGTGGACCCGAGGTTCTTGCGTCTGAGTGCTTGAGAACCTTGTCTTGCGTCTGTGTGCTTGAGAACCTTGTCTTGCGTCTGAGTGCTTGAGAACCTTGTCTTGCGTTAGAGTGCTGAGAGAGAGAGAGAGAGAGAGAGAGAGAGAGAGAGAGAGAGAGAGAGAGAGAGAGAGAGAGAGAGAGAGAGAGAGAGAGAGAGAGAGAGAGAGAGAGAGACAGGCAGAGAGAGACAGAGAGGGAGAGACAGAGAGCCAGAGAGAGAGAGACAGAGAGAGAGAGAGAGGCAGAGACAGAGAGAGACAGAGACAGAGAGAGACAGAGACAGAGAGAGAGACAGAGAGAGAGAGAGAGAGAGAGAGAGAGACAGAGAGACAGAGAGAGAGAGAGAGACAGAGAGAGAGAGACAGAGAGAGAGAGAGAGAGACAGAGAGACAGAGAGAGAGAGACAGAGAGAGAGAGACAGAGAGAGAGAAACAGAGAGAGACAGAGAGAGAGAGAGACAGAGAATGTAGGCAGCATCGCCCGATCATATGAAAGCAAGAGTGTTTGTACTCCAGTGAGATCAAGTGACCCATCACCTCCTCGTCAATCGTCAATCCATCCAAGTCCAAGGAGATAAGAGATCCAGAACTTATTGCCAGGCAGCTTAATCCCTCTACAGCACACGCCTACCTTCCCGGGCTCCTATTTAATGAGAGGCGCCACCTTCTACTGCCTAGCACCGGCTACCTCATATAATCACTACGCTTATTTCCCAACCTGTTCCTGTTTGTCTAGGAGGTTCTTCTGGAGGTTTAGGGAGCCGGTCGGCCGAGCGGACAGCACACTCGACTTGTGATCCTGTGGTCCCGGGTTCGATCCCAGGCGCCGGCGAGAAACAATGGGCAGAGTTTCTTTCACCCTATGCCCCTGTTACCTAGCAGTAAAATAGGTACCTGGGTGTTAGTCAGCTGTCACGGGCTGCTTCCTGGGGGTGGAGGCCTGGTCGAGGACCGGGCCGCGGGGACACTAAAAAGCCCCGAAATCATCTCAAGATAACCTCAAGATAACCTCAGCCTCCTTGTTTAATGAGAGGTACAAGCCAGCGGATATGTACGCGTTGGGGGAAAAATATTGAAGCTGGGGCAATGGTATTGAACCGGCATACCAGAACACCCTATAAGGACGAGGGTTCGATACCCTTGTATGGTGTGTAATGATACGTTTGTAATTACATTGTGTATGTACTGTAGCAGGCAAATGAGACTGCTATGGGCGCTAAGTACACGGTGTCTTGTCCCAGGTTACACAACTGCTTGTTTGGTAGCAAGTCGTCCTGTCTAGCTGCTTGCTTGGTAGCAGTTCGTTCTGTCTAACTGCTTGCTTGGTAGCAGTTCGTTCTGTCTAACTGCTTGCTTGGTAGCAGGTCGTCCTGTCTAACTGCTTGCTTGGTAGCAGTTCGTTCTGTCTAACTGCTTGCTTGGCAGCAGGTCGTTCTGTCTAACTGCTTGCTTGGCAGCAGGTCGTTCTGTCTAACTGCTTGCTTGGTAGCAGGTCGTTCTGTCTAGCTGCTTGCTTGGTAGCAGGTCGTTCTGTCTAACTGCTTGCTTGGTAGCGGGTCGTCCTGTCTAGCTGCTTGCTTGGTAGCAGGTCGTTCTGTCTAGCTGCTTGCTTGGTAGCAGGTCGTTCTGTCTAACTGCTTGCTTGGTAGCGGGTCGTCCTGTCTAGCTGCTTGCTTGGTAGCAGGTCGTTCTGTCTAACTGCTTGCTTGGTAGCGGGTCGTCCTGTCTAGCTGCTTGCTTGGTAGCAGTTCGTTCTGTCTAACTGCTTGCTTGGTAGCAGGTCGTTCTGTCTAACTGCTTGCTTGGTAGCAGGTCGTTCTGTCTAACTGCTTGCTTGGTAGCAGGTCGTTCTGTCTAACTGCTTGCTCGGTAGCAGGTCGTTCTGTCTAACTGCTTGCTTGGTAGAA